TCTCCTTTTCCCCCAAAAGGTGTTTTCTGTCGTTGAAAACGAAGCAAAAGGTGGTATCATGTGGGATGCAACATTTGAAATTTGTGATCATGAGGTCCGACCAACTAGAAAGTTAGCTAAGTCAGAGTTTGAAGAAATTCTAACATTTCTCAACAACGTTTGAAAGAGTCTTTGAAACTTCACTTCTAGAGAATAACATAAAGTAAAACAACAGTTTTTTTACGACTTTTATACGTTCAGTCTTATTTTCTTTTTCAAAAGACCTGAGATATTTTAAGTAATACTTAACGATATTGTATTCAAATGTGACCTGCAAAAATACTATATTTGGGCAAGAGAGCCCTTGAATCGGGTGTGCGTTTGTCGACTAATAACCACTCCTTTCCTTGACGATTGACCCTAAAATATTTAGCTCTTTGACGGCTGTCAGTCAAGCCGTTCGACAGTTGACGGTTAATCCCATTTTGAGCCCCCATTATCCAGCCAATATCCAACCACCCTGCGCTTAATAAATATTGTTTAAAATATACGTTCCTCCTTAAAAAAAACACCTTATTGAACTGCAGAAAAAGAAGAGAAATGCCTGGAGGGGTTTTCGTAATAGCCCAAGTTCGATGTAATAAAATTCTAGCATAACTCCGAGGTTTCCTCACTGGTCATTTTTCTATTGTGCTCAATTCTCTTTTGGGAATTGCAAGACAATGAAGTCGTGAAAATGTGCAATTTTGTTCCTAAAGCCTCGGAGTCATGTTTGAATTTTAATTTATCGAATGTGGGCTATCATTTTAAGTCGTTGTAGCCTTTTGGCATTTTCAGTGGGAACCAACTAGCTGTCATTGTGGTCACTGTTTTTACCAGACGCCTCCACCTTCACCAACTCCAGCGCATTCATTTATACGAGGCCCACACACCCCTCCCCTCTCACCTATTTCCGTTGAAAGGGTGGGAAGCTCAATGACCACATGATGACACTAGACACCGGAAAAAAACCCAATAATTAACAATAATTCTGCTAACCCTCATGGGCTCTGAGTCAATAGCCCATGTTTTTTTAATAAAATCCAACTTGTTGGTCAAAAATATCGAGACCAAACAACTTTAGCCAGCAAAAACGCGATTCAGCCGCCATGGATTTGGTTTTCAAAGCCGGCGCTTTTCGCTACTGGTGGGCTATAACATATAGCCTAGTAATAGCTAAACCAATCAGAATGCAGTATTGATAATAGACTACTAGTTGGATTTTACTAAAATACAATATACATATATATAGATAGATAAAACAGGCATCTTAATTAATCATTCTCCCGCTTTCCGTGAATGATCATTAAAAAAAATGCCATTTACGTCAATTAGGTTTAAAATTGATTTCGCTAAGACAAGAACGGCTGATAAAATTTCACCAATGTTTGGAACAACAACTTGCACATGACCTGAAACTTTGTCGGTAACTTGGAGCAAGTTAGCTTTTGATTAAATTCCGACCTTTCGCCGATCAACGGCATTATCAGGGATAAGAAAAATTTTCCGCGTGGAGTTAAATATATATATCAAAAATAAGTGTAAAGTACAATGTGTGAAAAGCGTAAAAATGGGGCGAAGTAGGTATGAGAGGAATAAAAAAAATTAAATTAAATTAAATACAACGAGCTATTAATGAGCTAATGTCACGGGACAAAGAGTCTTTAGAAAGGCATGAAGATAGTCTCAAAAAAATAGGTCCACAAATTTGTTGCATTCCTAACGGGAGTTGAGGGCTGGCTAAATGCAAATCGGCTGCAAAAAACATGCTGGTCCTGACACAAATTTGAGCGTCCCTATTCCTTGATCAGCTGCTGCAAAACAGGACACTGATAGCCCTTTCAAATAAGAAATTGGAAGCTTGCTCACCTGTTAGGTCCTCAGCAACAACTCAACAAACGCAATCTATAGTCCACAACCAACAGTTGAACACTGGATCACCCGGCCTCCACCACGAGAAGTAAATGCAAGACCGTGACGTCATTGCCCAAATATGGGGTATTACGTACACCCAAATATGGGCAAATATTGATTTCTCGTTCAACATTTGATTTTACCGGTGTATCGCATTTGGTCTGCGGTCTGCGGTCTGCAAATGTCATACACCGCTTGTTTGGCCGCTGGGAGATACGAAATTTCTCATCGAGTGTGGAAGAATATTCCATGTGTGAGCGCAGCGAGCGAGTGAAATATTTTTGAACACGAGAAGAGAAATTTCGTATCTCTCAGCGGCCATGTAAAGATGTTCTATTTATGTATTAATCATATAAACACTAATGAAATACCAAAACATTTCACTTAGATGTTCCCATCTCTTAAACACAAAATACGCCCCGTGCAGTATTTGATTTGATTTCTCGTTCGTTCTACAGCAGCCAGCTTGGCGTTTATTTGCCGGATAAGACCCCACATCAATCAATAACACTTGAAAATCAGTAAAATATCTAAACCACTCTGTCCCCACTTTGCAAAAACAAAATAAGCCTCAAGAAGTATTTGAATTTCTCGGTCATTCTACCGCTAGCGCGTGGGTTTACTTGCCGCTGGTCTCTAATCCTTGAATATCGGTAAATATCTGAAAGGCTCTCCAAGCACTCAAAATACGTGCAATACGTAGAAAAACGTTGTATAAATAACGAGGAACAACGGGTTTGATTCTTATTCTACCTTAGAGCAAAATAATTTTGTGTGCGAGTAAACGTTCAGCGGAACCCCGCCTTAAGACCACCTTGACAGACCAAGCACATTTATAACAGGGAGTTTATGTAGTGAACCACGACGAACGCGGCAGTGAAAACGTCTCTGAATTAAAAGGTAATTTGCGTAAGTTCAAACTTTATCTCGTTTTCTGGTCTCGCTTTATTTGTCAATTGTAGCTGAATTTTCCTGGAGTTGAATTCTTAAGGACTGTATTCAAATTCAAAAGGAGGAAGGGAAATTTATATTCGTGTGATCACGTGCACGTGATCGAATAATGACCGCGGCAAAGAAATGTACCAAAAAGTGTGATGCAAGTGCAGAGCTGTTGTTTTGCTCACAAAACCTTTTTTTGCGTTCTCGCAGGTTGCCGCCGTCGTCCTGTTCACTCGGTTATTTTCCATTCTGAAAACTTAATGACTTTTAACAACCCTCATACGGCCAGTTTGTGTCTTGTTAGTCAAGACTGGCGTTTTTCTTGTGCAAGAGGCTCTTTAATGAGAGGTTTTCGTGTTAGGCCATATTTAACGGTTTCAGAATGAAGTGCATCACTCAAAAACTCAATGGGCCGTTATGTTGACTGTTAGCGAGTGGATCGAGATATGTGTTAAAACGGAACTAGTGTTTACGGAGTCAAAAAAGTCATCGATGTCAAACCAAACCATTCACCGAAATCTTGTTCTTCATTCAAAATAGGTGGGAATGTACTAGTAAGAAAAACTTAACTTACACTGCGACATATGCTGAATATTTGGCCGAGTAGTAGAGTCTTAAAAAGGCTTAAAAACTACGAAAAATTCCAACAGGAAAATGCTACAGTTATACGCGTATGCTGTTGATATATCTAACCTCGGTTTCTGGGGCTTTCCTATAAAAAGTTCGGACAACTAACTTCGTTCTACTTCATACACGCGCAAATCTAAGCAATTGCTAGCGACTGATAGCAGGTTACTTACGTGTAAAGTCAGTGTAAAGTGACTCAAATTGCTACAGGTTGAATTCCCTTTTCGGTCTTTGGCACGCGACTTGAGCTGCCTGTGAAAGATATGAAGCGAACCTTGTGTGACACAATATCTACACCTTATAGAGTTCGAACAAAGCGGAATCTAGTGATTTCCCTCCAGACATTGAATGTTGGATCATGATTAACGAGTACCACCAAACATTTCTGATACAAGAATACAAACTCAAGTGAAACTTCCTGTGACATCATGCAGGATCTTTTGATGGTTTTGACGCCGCTTTTCAGTTCTGAATCCTCCAAACATATTCATTGACGCCATGAAAGACAAACAGGAAGATTTGAAGAGGCATAACTGGGGATGGAATGTCTATTCAACATTTCTAAGTCAAGCTGGTCAGAAAAAATTTAGATGTCCACGTAAGGGATTGCGAGAAAAAATTTTTTTAAACATATTTATTATTCATTCAAAACATTTCGCCTTTTCTGATTTCCTTAATCCTCCAACTAATTCTTCATAACCAGCTACCCCTTACCAAATTTGAAGGAAAAAAAAAACAGTTACTGATATTAATTTCCTGTTTATTGGATTGACATCACCCGATTGACGGAAAGGCGGCGGCGTAGTTGTCCCTTTCGTAAACGATCGCTGCCATTTTAAAGGCAATTAAAATTTTTTTGACCTGTTATTGAGAGTGTTTCTATTAAAAAAGAAAGAAAATCACAACCCAGGGTCGAACCCGGACATTTAGTATCCTAATCTCTCTCATTTACCACTACATCGCTACACATACACTAGCCAAACTGTCTTTCTTAACTGACTGATACATCATGCAACAACAGGTGACCCTAGCCCTTTCCATAACTTTTAACGTAAAGTCAACTTCGGCTTCAACGTCGTTTTTTCTAAAACTATTCAAAAACGTATTTTTTGCCTCATTGTAACTTAATCAAGGGAATATATTACATCTGTCATGACTAACGGCTTGGTTATCAATGGTGGCATCGACCGTTAAAAATAGCAACGACTGTTTACTAAAGGAAAATGGGCGGCGGCGGCGGCGGCTTTGGAAGAACAGTGCTTGAGAACAAGAGATTACCAGCTTTTTCAAGTTATGCTTTCTGTGAAATGTAACTAACTGTACATTTTCTAAAAGTCCTTTAATTTTTTTTCCTGGTTGGTTGCGAGCTAATTGAAGCACGCATCGCTCGCTTTTTCTCTTTGAAGCTCGAGTCAATAAATTACGAGAGGTCGACTTGTAAGTCTAAACTGACTGTATCGGACCGCCTCATATCAGGCAGGCGGATGGAGTCGAAAATAGTTGACCGTTTTGGAAAGTTAAAAGAGAAGGAAATTAAGGAATTAATTAAAGACAAAGGAGTGAGAGAACGTCACCTTGCTTGATTTATTGATGAAGACATGAGAAATTGCATCAAAGCGGTGCATGTCTTAAAAACAGGAAATCCAACCACCCTACAAATCATGGTGTTTTTCAATAACGCTCTTTTACCAGCTTTAAAAGAAGGATTTTAACATAAAAGACAACTCGCAAGGGAAGCGCTGCAAGGCTGGCGTTGTCGACAGTAAGAAACGTCAAATGGTTGGTTCACTGAACAAGATATAATGGGAAACAAAAACACTTACTGTTTTTAATTTCCTGTTTATTGGAAGCAAGATCATGACGATCTGGAGTTAAGCTTCTAATTACGTGCCTCTAACAATTTCCCCAAAGAAGTCTCAGAAAAACATTTGATGAAATTTTAACACAGAGAGAAGTTATGTCACGCTTAATTTTGTCCGAGGTATGAAAAGGAGAATCCGCGTCGATCACGGTCGCCATTTTTGGTGTGCGTGCGAGATTGGCTCGGTGCTGTGTCGAATTGCACTATGGGACTGACTATCACGAACAGAGAGGAGAAGTCGTTACGTCACGTTCCCATGGTAGCAAAATTTCTGGAGACAACAAACCAAAAACTCACTTAAAAAGCGAATTCGCACTGTTTCAAACTTAATCGATCTTATACAATTTCAATAAAAATTTGTTAAATGTTGACGAAATTTTAGGGGGTTGAATCCGAAAGGACCGTATTTAAGTTTAGATATACAAAAAAAAATTGTCTTGCGTTTACCTACTATTTAAAGTAAGCGCGTGAAATTAGGAAGTTTCATGTCGTAGTCGTGTAACGACGGTTAAGAAATGAACAAAAAAGCGTGATTCACGAGCAAAGTTGTTGTTTTGCTAATATAAACTTGCTTTTAAACTGTTCTCGTTGCCGTCGCAGTTGCTTTAACTCCCTATTGTTGTGATCCAGAAATTTTGCTACCATGGTAACGTGACGTCACACTTCTCCTCTCCAACTCGTCCCACAAAACAGTCCCGTATTGGTATTCGACATAACACCGGCCCAGTCTCAAAGACCAATATATCAAAAATCTAACGTGCCTCTGAGGCTTTAGGGACAAAATTGCAAATTTTTCAAGGCTCCTTTGTCTCGCAATTCCTGGAAGAGACTTGACCAAATACAGAAAAATGACCAGAAAGCCTCAGAGTCATGTTAGAATTTTGATACATCGAACATGGGCTGTTAATCTTGCAAATAAAAAAAACAAGGCAAATTTTAATGCATGAAATATCGACCAAAAGAATCAGCTAGTATTAGTAAATGTAATTAAGTGCTTAAGTGGAAAAAATTAAATACAGATACCAATGCCACAAGAATCGCCAAAAATCCTTCGTACAATGCTTTTACAACACAACATAACAACCAATACTCCGTGATGAAACTTAGGTAAGAAAGTAGATGTATTGAATTAAGCTGGGGAGCCACAGCTCACTCATTTAAGCTAAATTATTGTTAATGTTATTCAGCAAAGAAAGCATCCAGAGTAATCTCGATATAAAGTACACAAAAAACCAGCTACAACACTTTGTAACCAACACATGATAAGAATAGTCTCAGTATTAAAAGCAAACAAAAAGGCGACAAACGTTGCTTCATGTTTACAGTGCAGACTGACGAAGCACTTACCATGTGGGTACCATTTATGTACTTAGCTGCACCATTTTTCTCTCGACAAGCAATGAATCAATCAAACTTTAGAGCCACATGGGAAGAAATCTTAATACAGTAGAGGGGGTGGGTGGGCCCTTTACTCAATAATCTTTGTCACCACACCAGTCCCCACAGTCCTGCTGCCTTCTCGAAGAGTAAACCTGAGACCTTGCTCAATAGCAATATCGAACATAAGCTTAATAGTGAAGGTAGCATCATCCCCAGGCATAATAAATTCCTTCCCCTCGGGGAGAGTGATGGTAGCGGCCACGTCGCCTGTTCTGACGTACATTTGCGGCTGGTAGTTTGTGACAAACGGTTTGTGTCGTCCACCCTCTTCCTTTTTCAGAATGTAAACCTGCCAAGAAAAAAACAATGTGGAGCGCGAGGGAAGAAGAAAGGAAAGCGAGCATGGGTCGCACCCATCGCGTTTTCGCGCTTTTTAATATTACAGCTTTTCCTTTCCCTTCAAACCCCTTCCACGCAGGCTGGGCATTCTCCAAGCATTTAAAGGAAGAACAGAAAGGAGGAATTACACATTAGACGCGGGAGTACAAAAAGGGAGCTCGAGGAAAATTGTCCATTGCTTTAAAGGCATTTTATGACCTGCAAGACAAGCGTTTAAAGGAAGAAGAGAAAGGAGGAATTACACGTTAGACGCGCGAGTACAAAAAGGGAGCACGAGCCGAGGAAGGAGGAAAGGGAGGCGCGCAACGCGCGCGTCGATCGCGCCCATCGCGTTTTCGTGAGACTTTATTCCTTCTTTCCCTTCCCCTCTAAATGTCTGACACGCAAACTGGCCATTCATTCTCTGTTTACCTGGGCCTCAAATTTCGTATGTGATTTGACTGTTCCTGGAGCACACAATACCATTCCACGTCGGACATCTTCACGCTTCACTCCTCTAACAAGCGCTCCCAAGTTATCTCCAGCCTCTCCTCGGTCAAGAAGCTTGTGAAACATCTCGATCCCTGGGAAATAACGATTTTTCAGTCTGTGACACAAGTAACTCGGAAAAAAGAAATCCGCGTTCTCACAATAAGAGTCGAACCTAACAACTTTTACTAGTTCAGATGATCTACTATTGAACTACAAAAACCTATCACAAGATTGTTTCATCCGCATTGTCTTGATCGTCCTAAACCCTTTAGGCACGATTGAAGAGAGGATCCGAATGTACGATTGTATAGTTGTCAGAAACGACCTGGATTCAGTTGTTCGAAGGCCGATTAGAACTAACCCGAGGTTAAATTTTAATCCGGGTTTCTTATTCTTTTGCTCAAAAGCCTTTTTCTTGGATAATTTTCTCTATACTTTTTGGAGCATCCAATAATGAAATTGTGGACGAAAAGAATTAAACTGGATTTTGCTTGTTACGCTTTCACATCTGGATTTAAATTTCGCACTAACCCTGGGTTATCTTAGTCCAGCTTTGAACAAACAAGCCCAGATTGTAATAGTGGCGACAAAATCGCTAAACATGGATATCCACTGAACTACGGCTACGTTATTCAAGCTTCCAACCTCGACAAGGTATAAACTGTTGTTAAAATTAACTTATAGATTGAGATTTCTGGACAAGAAATGGCACAGGTTAATAACCAGTCCACTTGTTGAAAGATTCAGTTTGAGTAAGACTGAGAAACTAAGATTTGGAGTTCCAGTCATTACAAACAAGAAAACTCAGACAGCGTCTGAAGCCTTGGAACTCAACAAAACTCAAAGCTTCAAACATTTCAGTAACAGTGGACAGCTGGCCACAGATAGCCTTTACTGTTGGTAACTAAATTTCACCTTGGGCACCTTGATCTGAAAACATGGTTGCCCAATGGGCAACCTACCTCAAAAGTTCATTTCAGATCCTGGATTGTAGGAACAATAGGCCTTACCTGTGACTGTTGTCTTTGCCTTGACCCCATGTCCTACAAACTCAACTTCGTCACCATTTTTGATCACACCTCTTTCGACCCTCCCTGTCACTACCGTGCCACGCCCTGATATGGAGAACACATCTTCAATGGGAAGAAGGAATGGTTTGTCCAGTTCTCTTGCTGGAGTTGGAATGTGTTCATCCACCGCTTCCAAAAGCTTAATGATGGAGTCTCGACCAATCTCAGGCTTCTTGTCTTCAAGGGCACACAGAGCAGATCCTATTATAATGGGTGTGTTGTCCCCATCATAGCCATAAGTGGATAGAACCTCCCTCATCTCAAGTTCAACCTGTAAAGACAATCACAATCACACATTTCAGATTACAAAAAAGCAAATGGAAACTGCCACCATGATGTAATGAAAACCAGCAAAATGAGAAGATGAGAATAGTTTAATCAAGAGTCCAACTAAACCTGCTTTTAGTGAGTTTTAGACGTGCAGTCAGACATTTTTCAGTGTGTTTAAGTGCTGAATGTGTTATGCAAAATCACAAGAGTACCCACCAGTTCTAAAACTTCTGGATCATCCACAGCATCAGCCTTGTTGATGTACACCACAAGGTGCTTTACACCAACCTAAAACACAAGACAATGATAAACAAGCGATATATGTTACTGAACATGAGGAGTAAGAAACTCCATAGCCTAAAGCTAAGAACTATTAGGCCCATTTCAAATGCAGGGGTGTGGCATGGGGAGCCCCCCCCCCCCCCCCCTTCAAGTTTTTTGCCCCCAAAAAGTCAAAACATGCATGCGCACAAAAGTTGAAAATAAAAATTCATCTCCCAGAGCATTTAAACAATGATGTCTCGACAGCTAGGTGGAAAATTATTTTGGTTTTAAGATACAGAGATCAGTCCAATGGGTCCTCCACCCCCTAAAACCCTCTGCTTTTCAAATACAATGAGTTACTTAAAATCTTTGTGCCCCCTACTTTCTAAAGGCTTGCTACAACCCTGAAATGTTGTGTGACAACTGTGCTAAATTGGCCCAACAATAGCACAACCCTAGCATGACTGTAACAACTTGGTTTCAAACATCAAAAGAAATTCAGTGGAATAAAAAATAGCTGTTGCTAAAACAATAAAACTGACTTCTTACCATTTCTTGTCTCATGTACATGTATGTACTCTAATGTATTAATAACTTAAGAATTGAGTTTGGCAAGGCAGTATTGCAGCATTTGAAACAGGCATTACAAAAAGAACAGTACAGTGCCATTGAACAGTTAAGCATAGCCTGTGTAGCTGGCAGGATTAATCACACATAACTACTTTTGCTGTCTTTGTTTAGGCTGCCAAGCTTCCAGAAGAATGGGGATTAGTTAAGCAGAAAAGAAAGTAACAAAGTACCAGTAACATTTTTGACGTGACAGCTTTACAGGAAAACACTGAGTCCACAGAAGTTTGTGTAGGAAATATCAATTTAAGAGGCACTCAAAGATAGATTCTAAGTTGACCATACAAGTTGCCTGTTCTAGGAATGCCACCACAGCCCTGTAAGAACTTTTAATAACACCCTTATGTAAGATTTGGGCTCATCTACCTGATTGGCTAGCAATAGATGTTCCCTCGTTTGTGGCATTTGTCCATCAGTTGCTGCTACCACAAGAATGGCTCCATCCATCTGAGCAGCTCCTGTGATCATGTTCTAGAACAATGCATACTTAGTTACTTTTAAGGAAAAACGTTGCTGTTGTTTTTGTTCCTTGCGAGCAAATTTAAATATTTTAACTGTACTGTATGGAGCCCCATAGCTAAGAAAATTTGGTTGTCCATTCATGCGAGAAATTTTGATAATCATGCGACTAAAACATCCGTCCGTTCCTCCACCTACCCATCCATCTGCACCACGGGGCAACCAATGTGAAATCTTGCACCTTCTAGCTAGTGTATGAGCCTGCAACCTGATATTGCACATCCATGTTGTGGTAATTGCCAGCTGTCAACAACCAGTATCAGATGACCTCATCGCAGGTTCAGGTGCTGCACCATCGAGGTTGCAGGTTTTTTTTCTTCAAGCTATGCTCTGACAAGTAACTAGTTTTTAATGGCTGGCAGGCTCAAGTCCAAATGGATTTCACTGGAATGCATGGTTACAAGTTTATTATAAATTTATTGAAGGGAACTTCGCCTTTAGCCTTAGCAAAATTTATATTTTACATGTACAGTAGACTGTACCTTAATGTAATCAGCATGACCAGGACAATCCACATGTCCATAATGCCTGTTAGCTGTCTGATATTCAACATGTGCTGTGTTGATTGTTATACCACGAGCCTTCTCTTCTGGGGCATTGTCAATGTCAGTGTAGGACTTGTAGTTTGCTGCTCCCTCCTGAGCTAGCACTAAAATGAAAACCAAATATATCATTAGACAAGTCCTGTTTCCTCAGTCTGTTTCTAAATTACCAATAAGAGACAAGAGGAAAATAAGGATATCTAAGTTACAGTATCGCCTGAAAAAAACATAGCAAATTGTTTAAAGATCTTTATTCACTGTTCCAGGTTAAACGTTTTTAACCAAGGTTGATTCTCAATTCCCTTTGTCTCCTAAGCCTAATTATTCATGGATTAGGGCTAGGAGACAAGGGAAATTGAGAATCAACCTAGGGTGAAAATAATGATAATTTTTATTTTACCTGAATTTAATTATGATCCACAGCATATACACGTACATAAAGTTCTATCATCAGACATTTCTCTGTTTAACAACAGCTTGCAACGACAAAAACTATAGAGTCAAACCCTCCACAATGGATGGCTTTAAATCTCAAATGTAGAGAAAACTGTCTGTCTTAGGGAGGAGACATTAATTGTCTCTTGAAGAGAGGTTAAGCCCTAATATCCAAATACAAGTTTTCTACACTGATCTCTTTGCTTTCCTTATAGAATTAGCTGAAAATAAGGGCTGAGTTGTTCAAAGCTGGGAACCCAGGGTTAGCGCGAGATTTGAATTCAGATTTGAAAGCTTAAAAAGTATTTCAGTTTTAATTCTTTTTGTCTACAAGTTGATGATTGGAAGTTCTAAAAATTACAGAGAAAATTATTCGAGAAAATGCTTTTGAATATAAGAAAAAGAAACCCCGGTTAATCACTAATCGGCCTTCGAACAACTGGGCCCTGATAATAAATCAAGGCATTTACCCTTTGGTGATCATTTTATTAATTCTCATAATCATTCCCCTTGATGATAAATAAATATTGTTAGGAGAAAATTGATGTTTATCACTCTTGGGACCTAAATGGCTTAAACAAAAGAGTTGCCAATGTGAACAGGTGCTGAGGGCTTAGTTAAGGTTCAGCTGTTAAACATAATGTTCCCTGCACCTTTAGTGATGGCTGCTGTTAGAGTGGTTTTCCCATGATCCACATGGCCCACAGTTCCAATGTTTACATGTGGCTTACTTCTCGAGAAGGTAGCTTTTTTAGCGGGAGCAGCGTAGTTTCGGAATTGGAAAACTGAAAAAATCAATCCAACAAATGCAATGAACCAAGTCATAAGTAGGCAAAAAGGAGATTACAGAGTATCATTGTAATATTACTAAAAAAGTCTTTTCCTCACTATTATAATTATTAATATTATTATTAACTAGAAACGTGTCTGGCAGAACTTCTTGAAGCTTGAGGAAAGTGTCAAGTAAGTACGTTTTGCTCGTTGCTTTTTTTTTGCGCGGCAATATAGTGGATAGACTGTGAGCAGTCCCTCTTCAGTCAGTCGAGTCTAAGCTCGGAAGGACTGGAGAGAGCAAAATGGCCGAGAGGGAAACTGGAGCAGCTTCCCCTCGGCTTCTTGTTTTTTACTTTCGCTCACTTTGCTTGATTTCCTCGCCCACGTGACCATCCTGAGGGACTGCTCGCAGTCTATATAGTGGACACCAACCGAATATATAACTTACATAAAGGTGACTCAAGTTTCCACCACCCTAAGCAACCCTTGATGAAACTAATTCCAAAAAATTAAATGTACTTACAAAGGAATAACATTAAATAAATACATTTACAAAATGCACTGTCAACTAGCTGAGACATGTAGAAATGAAGTTGACATTAATATCATTATTAATGGAATCATATTGAATGTGCTTTGAACTGAGGTAACAGATTATTGCTAGAAGACAATGGAAACCAAATGTTAAGCATTGCTTTGGTTCTCTCGACCTTATTGTTACATGTATATATTAAACTACATGAATAACTACAATCAAGGAATTTATCCCTGTGCATGCTTTATATATCTGCTCCACGGCTGTAAAAATATTAAGACCGAATCTGTCAGGAAATTAAGTAATTTCAATTTTAAGTGGACAAACACCTTGTACCAGATATAATTTAAACAATATTGCATTCATTTTTACATTTTTGTAATAACAGTAAAGACTATTTCTCATGGGAGCCCGAGAAAATAAATGTCAAATTTCACAAGAATCGTGAAAACACAGGTAAAATTCTGAAAATTTCATGTGTAAGGTGTCATTTTGTGAATTTGACATTTGTTTTCTTGGGTTCTCATAAGAATTTTTCTTTGGTGTTACTACAGCTAACTAATTATATCTATAGCCCTTGAAAAATGTAAAAAAGGATGCAACTTTGTTTAAACTCTTCTGGTACAAGGTTTTTGCCCACTGAAAATTTAAATTACTCAATTTGCAGATGGATTCTGTCTTAAGATGTTCCCATATACTGATCATTTGTGTACACATGTAGCAAAAATCAAGCAAAGGTGGTGCAGTGATTAGAGCACTGGCCGTCTTCCAGTGTGACCTGGGTTCACATCCTGGAAGTTTGTTGTTGATTCTTTCCTCTGCCCAAGAAGCTTTTCCCTTGGTACTCTTGACCCCACATACATGGAATGTTAGATCATGAGATGAAGATCCACCTTGTGGATGCACTCACTACCTCTACAGTGTAAATCATTATTTTATTTCTTTATAGTCCTTATAGTCCTTGACATGTACACCTGTAGTTCTTACCGGTGCTCCTTCTTCCATTTTGTAAAAGCAACAAACTCTGTGTACAAACAAACAAAATCAAATCAAAGGATGCTTTACAAGATATTTACATGTAGATTACCATTGCCAGAATAATACTTTGATTTCTAGTTCGACTGAAGGGGTTTTGTAGGGTTTGGGTTTGAGTTACAGGAGTCACAAGTGTCAGGATCTTTGGTCCCACCTACAATCTTGCTCACTAAACCCTCAAGATTATTAATAATCAAGTTCTGTAAAGCTGCAAATTATTGCCATGATGAAGTGGTCACCACCAGGAAACTTTCGACGAATACCTCAATGTTGCATACACAGGAACGTTTAAAAATTCTGAGTATCTCCCTTACTATCAAAACTACCACAACAATGATAATTGTTACATGTAACCTTCTAAGATGATGATGAATTTTCAGTTTTGTGGTAAGCTCAATTAATGGGCTGCCTGTGGCACCCAATTATGGAATGAGCTTTCTCTATCAAAAAAAGACAAAATGGTGGACCGCTCACCCAGAAGGCATAGCGTGTCCCACTCCCCCTGCAATGGAGCCGATTTTTGCGAGGAGGGGATGGGTCATTTAAGGTAGTCCAGCGAACAGATTTGGAAGTCAATTTGGAACAAACACAAAATTATTGCATAGAGTTATTAGCCCTATATCCACGCCAAATGATTAACTAAATACAGTATTCTATGTTGTTATTAGCCTGTGTGGGAGCTGCAGAAACAATGCCTGCCCACGGTCCCTGCAGGAAAAGCTTAAACTTGTTGCAAATATCTCTCCCTGCATGTGAAAAGTCTTTCCTCAATATCTTATTTGTAGATTGCCCCAACAAAAGTGCTTTAAATGCAATATCCAGTAGAAGTAAAACCGAAACTTTATTTGCTTTGTGTGTTTTAAGGAACAGAAAATTACTGTTATTTACAGTATTTAAAACACCAAATTTGACCTTGTCACGTTTTATAAGCGTAGAACAACAATAACTTTTGGAATTTCCAGTTAGATCAAATGGATCATTATGCGTTTCTGGGAAACTGCCAACCTACCCCTCCCTTAAGCCAACATTTTGCCCTAACTGAGAAATAGGTGTTAATGTTGGCTTAGGGGTGGAGTATGTGGGCAGTTTCCCAGAAACGTATATTGATCTGATCAAATTAGTCATGTTATACTGTCATGCTATATATATATATAGATATATTTTTGGGGGGGTGGGGGGCCATAGGGATTGGGGGAGGGGTGGGTTGTGGTTGTGAAAATGCCTCAGTTAAAAATAATGACAATCGTCTCGTTCCAAACGGCTAATTAACGATTATTCCTCAAGCCCGAATGGGTTCTGAGTCAATAGCCCATGAGGCCGAAGGCCGAGTGGGCTATTGACTCAGAGGCCATGAGGGCGAGAGGAATAACTGTTTTAGTAAAATCCAACTAGTTGTTTAAAAATATCGAGAATAAAAAAATTTTAGCTAGTTATAAAGCTAGACTTTAATCCTTTTTTGCCGCCAAAAAGCCCGTGCTTTTTGCTACTAGTGGGCTATAACATATAGCCTAGCAGTAGCTCAGCCAATCAGAACGCAGCATTGATAATAGACCACTAGTTGGATTTTACTAATTTTTTTTTCTCTATTCCATTCCACTTGTTAGGAGCAGCTATACACTCAGTCCGTAAAAAAGTGTCATTTTAATCTATACTTCCCAAAATATTAAACCACTGTATCGCGCAGTCGGCAGCCCAACGAGCCCCCAGTATGAGGGTCTTGTTATGTAAGCAACGTGTGCAGCGATAGTAAAATTATTTTATATTGATACTTACGTTGTTTCCAGAATTTAGGCAGAGAGACCCAACGCCCGTTAGAGCTTCTTTAAGAGCTGAAAATAATCCAGCATAGAGAATATAAATAAAATGATTCACACTCGCAAAATGAATAAAACACTAAACCCCAACATGAACGAATATTGCTGAACCACTCTATGCATGTTACCCACGTAGTAACAGCCACCTACGACACAAAATGACTTAAAATCTCCAACCTTTCTGGGATCTGAGTCCTTTAAATGCTACGGAAAACATGTCAGGTCGTCGATATAGTCGAATTAAACTAACAGTCTTGTAAAATTTCGACTTTTACCGGTCAACCTTTTTGGCATGTATCACGTTGTGTACTGACTTGAGCCCGCGATAAGACGTCCAACTTAACTTACTTCTTCATGTAAGCTTACAAATTTTGTCGATTGAAAGAGAAAATTTCTGTTGGAGCCTTTCAGGTTTCTGGAATTTAAAGGTTTCTCAATAAATATTACGTCAGCTGACACTCAACTGTAAAGACTTCTACAGTAACATTTTACATTCAACACCCAGTTATGTTATCTAACAGATAACATGTCCCTATTTAACCTATATGTAGACTGCCTTAAGTTCCCGCCCAGTCTGCGGCGGTCTTTCTAGCTTTTCTGATGGCCATGTCATGTTTTTCAGTGCAGCAAAGAGTATTTGTCCAATGTCTCGTATATCATTAGCTCACGGCAATTCAAAACATTTTTAATAGAGAAAAGAAGTTAGGAGACAACTTGGACAATTTTAGATTTTTCAAATATTTCGCCAGGGACGGGCTGCTTGACTTCATCTGGGATTACCACGCAACATTTTTTTCCAGCGCAGATACCTTCTTTGCCCATTTAAAATTCTAGCCGAAAATTAAGGTACCCATTTTGTTGATTTTGGATAAAGCATGAATATGGTCAATTATGTATAGGTACATGTAATCACATGGTTTCGAGTGCAATTTGGGATAAATGAGCGCTAGTAAATTTAAGTTACTGGCCGGGCCGACTGGTATACTGGCATTTAAGGCGAACTTTAAACAGGACAGTGGGATCTGAAGACAATCAAGAATTTGAGAAAACAAGATTTGTACCTTCCATAAATCTAGCCAACTTTTTGAAAACGAACATATATAGCGAAATTTGAAGCCCTGGTTCGATTGAAAAAGGGCCAAAAGGCAGGTTTTTAATTAACAACTGCAAAGGAAAAGGAAAGAAGGAGAAATATAAAGACGGAGGAGGAAGAAAGGAGGAGAAAAAAAAAGCAATGATTGTACTCTTGGTTTTTATTGGCTACCTTAGCAGTACCTCTTGACGGAAGACTGAGGTCTATTCAGCGGTAACGTTATCAAAAATCCAGCTAGATATATCAACAACTCCCCTTGGCCATAGCCACTTAAAAAAGAAAATATTGACTAAATTATATAAAAACAAATTTTATTACAACTTTCAAATACTGATGGATGATCTCCATTTATTTCATACATGCATGTGTTAATCATTAACCTTTCTTAAACATTTACCAATTAGCTAGTGTATACCATGGTTTAGGATTTTATTTGTTTCTCGGAGATACTAGCCTATTTTTGGCTGTTCTGAAATTCGAGATGAAAAAACGTTTTATGTATGTATGAAATATAGCCTGTTCCAGGCGTTCAGATAGTAGAGCACAACGTTCAGTTTTGTTTTTCCGCCCGCGCTCTGCTACAGTGAATCTGAATGCCTGGAACAGGCCAACAAAAATACTGCTGACCTGTCAGATTCTTGGCGTAGGAAATAGTTCCCTTTTTTGAGGAGCATTTTGCGAGAGCGGCCGCGATCCTAGCATCAGAAAAAAACGGGGGCGCGAAAAAGTATTAATTTGCAATCCAAGTTCGGCCTAACGGCAGAAGAATTTCTGAATCAATTCTCAAAATTCAAAAGTAAGCATGGTGACGTGTGTGTGGGTGTGTGAGGGTAGGGCAAGAGCAAAAAGGCGATTTTTCTTTAATGTTCATATACGCATTAAGCATATTATTATTATTATTATTATTATTATTATTATTATTATTATTATTATTATTATTATTATTACGCATATTATATACACATATTATTATCACGCATGTTCATGAACGTAAAGCGATGTTGCTTTATAGAACAGCTCTCTTGTCTCAATTTCAAAATTGATTAAAGTCAATCTATGCATAAACAAACAAAACAAAAGATAACAAAAGGCTGTGATGGATGTCTTTTGGCAGGGGCACGTTTTCAGTTAGTCTGTTTGGGTAGGGTCATCGGTTAGGGGAGAAAACAGCCTTTTTTCCGTAGTGCGCCCACTTTCTACTGAACTGATTTTAGGGTTCTCGGTCTTCACGCTGGTTGTCATGTCAGTTTGTGGGTAAGTCAAGTCCTTTGTAGAATTTTCCCAGAGTTAACCTAACTGATCAACCATGAGAACTTTAAGACCTAGCGTTTCAGTTAGCGCTATTATTTGCTATTATTGATTACCGACGCACAACTTGAGAAAAAATAGGGGAATCACAGGAGACGTTGAAATGATTTAGGTTAATTATTTGAAATTTTATGCCTTTTACTTATATTCAGGCGGTAGTAAATAGTAAAAAAAAAATCAATTTTTCTTGAATGAATCCCTCATATATCTGATATATTAATCTCCTTCGTAGCCGCTCGGGTACCCAGATATAGGATATGCTCAAGCAACGGGCATTTTAATACTTTGGGGTTTGTCTAGGGTGTGGCGTCTTCTTAACCTGACGTCACTTGTGACGGAACTTTGCGTGACTGGCAAAGCGCGTTTCTTTTTTAAAAAGTTTGTTTACATTTTAGAGAAACACAATAGCTTGAATACCTAATAAAATCAGTCGTTGGCTGCTGCCCAGGATTGAATTTTTGATAAGGAAAAAATCGACGAACAAAGGACTAGCAATTGCATTACAAAAATCAATTATTTTGCTTGATTATTTTCTACGTTGGTTTAAATTCAGTGTAATTCGTCCGCCACAAAGGCGCTAGTGGATGGAAGATCAGCTCGGGAAACTGTCTGTGTGTAGAATCAGGAAAGTAAAAGTTAACTCCTGCACAATGTACCTCATCTTTCTTTCCGATCCGCTGAGGTAAGTCGAGCTCGGTAGGGGAGAAGATGGTGATAAAATATTTCGCACCTTTCTTAATGAGAACGGGTTCTTCGAAGTATACATCAAATCCTGGCAATCCCTCGGTTCCTCCGTATTCGACAATGTAGGTTCCTTTCACACAGCTATTACAAGAGCGATTGCTATTCAATAGCTTTGTAATAACCGCGTAATTGTCGTTTAACTTGCGCCCGCTTGAAATGACCCTTACTCCATACATACAGACGGGCTGATCTGTTATGAAGCTGACACTGTGCTTGCTCTCGTACGGAGCAAAGAGTCGAGGTGGTTCATTCATGAACAAGCGGCGACAGCGGAGAGGTTTTATTCCTTGGCGCTGCCTGACGCAAAGGTTGCTATCATCCACGATGGTGCGTAGGGGAAAGTCGTGATTAAATTTCTCTAGAGCAAATCTCTTGGACCTTGGAGTTGTATGCCCTCTTGAGGCCTGGCAGGCATCGTTGTCAAGTATTCCAGATTCCAGCGCCCGATTAAGTATTTCTTTGTCGGCTATGCAAGAAAAACGAATATGTGACATTGCACCTCCAATCGCCTTTTTTACGTTTTGAGCTGTCGGGTCAATTGACCGCAGTCTACACTTGGCTTCTGCCCAGAACAACACTGCACGGAATAATTCATCTTCATAAATGTCTAACGTCTCACGTCTCAAAAGAACATCTAAAATCCTTTCAGATGTGGCAAGAAAGCTTTGGGAGCGAAGACATTTCCTGGTTTGTAGATCCACGATGCTCCAGCATCTTTCCTCAAGTTCCTCGGTGTCACGGAAATGTTCGCACTGAGTTAAAACCTCAAACGCGTTTTCGGCGTCAATTTCGTTCTTCAGAAACTCGGAGCACTCGTCTAGTAATCCAGTCACCATATACTTTTCAGCTAGGTACATCACTTGAAGAACGCAGCCGGCTGTTAAATTGGTTTCGTCGGAATACAAAAACCGTAGAAGTTCAAGGAGACTGTTGGAGTCCGCGTCTACAACTTCCACGGAATTGCTCGCCTCTGCCAGATCCCCGTAAAACATTTTGTAGAAAACAGGGCTCCCGATCGAAAGTACATACTTGTGAGCAGGAATGGCTACCTTTTTCCCAGTTTCACTGTCTTTGACGATGAAGTTTACATCGCTCATGAGAACGTTGTTGAACATTCGTTTGTTTCTTTGTGTCAGATTCGACGGAAGAGCGTTCAAATCAGGCAGATCATTAAGATCGTGCATGTTTGATTTCTGCGGATCAAAATAAAAACGATGTTTAATCGGTTTCTTTGCGTAATGATCTCTTGTTGGGTTCGAGATGCTGGCTTATTGCCTTGTCTGAAACGTTCTTGTACAGAAGTCAGCGACCTCTATTTATAGTACAGTTGTCTGTTGTCTTGACGAAGCGTGTGAATGTTTTGTTTCGTGTGTCACGCAAACTCATGATCAGTTCCTCGACACGCCACTCGATCTCCACTCCATGACATGTCAAACAGTATTCTTACATCAGCTCCAAACCTCAAAAACTTACCAAGTCTATTAGAAGTTTATTCATGGGAAATGAAAAACAAATGATTCACGAATTTGTCACGCGCACTATGTGTACGTCCTAAAATAAAAATTCACACGAATGCGTGCAAAATTGCCACAAATTATCTTCGATCCAGCGTGAGCACCCGGATGTAGCGTGCACACCATTTATACCTCGAGCTAAAAATGAAAAGCAACATCTGGTTTCATATTGATAAGGATATAAAAGCAGGACTTTTTCTCAAATTTTCAGTTACGGACGTTTCAGGCGTTAAAAGTCATTTACATTTGTACGACCCAGTACATTCATAACATCCTTGACGTCATACTGGTTGACAGGTCTGTAGGGCTTTTTAATACGTGAGTGTCATCATATCGTATCCGGAGATGATCAAATCTTAATTTGTACACGATAAAATGAAAGCAATACATCGATACATCGCAGACCAGTGAAATAAGTTAGCATCTCCTCACATCTGTGCAGAAATCTAATAACTATGTCACTTAGTATAAGCCATATAAACTAATTGTTCATTTCCCTTGTCACGTAGCTCTCTGGCGCTGGTGGCGGTCGTGATCTGGAGGAAACAAGAGCCTTTGCGGTCGGAGATCATTTGTGGTACTGTACAATACTCATTCGCGTGCCAAAAAGTCGGACTCTTATCACCTCTACGTTGGTGAGTGATAAAAATAATTTCACTTTGAAAACGTGGAAAAAAGAGTACAGTTTGCCCAGACTTTCGCATTCACTAGGCTAACTTTGAAAGGATGCCATGCGATGGAGGAAAAATGTGTGTGAAATGTGGAAGACACGTGACTTCTAAACCCTTATTTAATAAAAATACCGGTACTGTATAATCAGGATGTGGGAGCTCTTCTCTAGAAGCACGGAGTAAAGCGTTCTGGAAGATTTTCTATAGAGGGCATCCATCCAATTTTCATTCACCGAGTGTTATCCGTCTGGGATTTATAGTTTACCATTATAACAGAAGAAAATAGCCATGAGCCCAATAGAAAACTTCTTCAAGAGGAAGAAGTATACTACTGTTCAGGTAGCACAAGTGAAAGATAGACGGTTAGTAAAAGAGAACCTGCATAGGTGGCTATGACCCAAAACTCTGGCCGACCCTGTCCATTGAAAGAAGTTGATATCCAGGGATCAATTTAATAAGACTTTTACAAGTGTACACTGTAGCTATTGCTTCTGAACTCCAAAAACCATGTCTATACTTTAAAAATTACAGTTGTAAAATTTCTTTTAAATTGACCTCAGGGCTTCACTTAAACGACGCCCCTTTATTATCTAATGATATGCCGATAATATTAGTAATGCTCACTAGTACCGAGCTATTAGAATGTAGAACAAGTTTTGTCTTTTCATTATTTCTTCAGGCACTGCCGGCACCTTTTTGAATTCAATACAGTCAACAGTTAACAAGAAAGAGAGCTATTTTTTGGACACATAAGGAACGTAAATTGGACTGACCTTCAGCTATCAAGATCGCTGTCTAACGGTGTCCAAGATGTTAGAACGAAATTTATATGTTTGGGAATAGAATAAAGAGAGAGATATTCCTTAACAACCGCCCCCTCGACAGCGAAGAGAACAAGTATGATTACAGGAGAAACCCGATTAGCTGTAATGGCTTTTAACTCGCGTTCTTTGCCCAGACGTCACGCTACTTTTTAAAATACAAGTGACCGATTTTGATCGGTGGAGCCTTTAGTTACAGGACGAACTTGACCACAAAAAACCGTTCTATACATTGAAAAAACCTTATGCTATTTGAATCTCTGTACTCCAAAATTTTATAGCGGATTAAGGGAGACCTCGATCACGAGCTGTGATAGATCACGACACTGAGGAAACAGTGGTGTAACTCCACTTTAAATCGTTCGTGGGGAGAGCTTACAAAAACCTCATTTTGTCATCCTTACGTGCAATATTGAAAGCACATAACGGAAAAAACACGTTGCCTACCTGAATGGCAACACTTATGTTGTCAGCACCTTTTTAGATCTCTTATCATTGAGTGGTATTTCGTGCAAAACGGGCGTGGTGCTCTCTAGCCACGATACCAATGACGTAGCTCTCAAATCTTAAAATGTCACGAAGTCGAAGATCAATTCTAGTGTATGATCACACATAGACAAATTGACTCATCAGGAAACTTTTGCTTTAATATTTAAACACATATCACTATTTTTATAAAACGGTAATAAATAAATTTAAAAACATGAAAAACTAGTGGTGCTTGAAAAGATAATCAAAATAACTTGCTAGTTTTACAAAACTATAGGTAATAAATAGATAATTGAACAGCCGCTCCTAAAAACCATTACTATCTACAAAAAATTATCAAAACATGAAACTTAAGGCAATAAAAAAATTAACAATCTGATATCATTGATATCATATCTATATATTACGGATGATGAATTGACCATTTTCAAGTCGCGCGAGAGACTGAGTCGGCGCTTTCACATTACCCATAATGCATCTTGTTTACTTGCTTGACTTTTGCACAAACATGGTTTTTGCCTCCTCTTGAAACGACTGTAATACCCAGGATAAATTAAAAACAATTATTATGCAAAACGTTGGCGGGTAAACAAGATTCGAAATTTGCGAATTAGAGAAGCGAAGCGTCCACAAAAGGCGGTCCCATGGTACAACTCGACACATATCGACTCAGTCTCACGCAAAACCCCAGAACGGTCTATAAGTAAAATCTCTGAATAACGGTTAATTTACAGCGTAAGTGGATTCAATGTATGCGTATAATCTTTCTTTTCTAATATTTCTCTATTTGTACTGGTACAACAATGTTCAGTTCTCGAGTGACTATAAATTCGTCGATAAGCAGAATTTCAGCATACTCAGCCTTACCCCATTCACACTTGCACTACCAATCTTGAGCCGTGTTAATACCAGGGGCACCCAGTGACTGTTTTCTGTTTTTCTGTTCGAAGAAGCAAATATTGCCTAGAATTTTCTCTTCTTAAAAACGGCTAAAAATTTCTAAATGAGCGATCCATTTGGGTACAATTTTCAAAGCTCATCTAAAAAATTCCCTACGATTTTCTGAAGTGCATTTTTTTTACATCTTACTCCTTCATATCTTGACAGCTTGATCTCTTAAAGTTTAAGTGTTGGCAGTTGCAATTATTTCCGGTTGAAATACCGTACTAAAGCATATTTAGACGATACAAATCGTGCTGCGACTGTCGGTATTTTAAAAGTATGATACTCGTGTCACGCAAAAAAAAAAATTCGCTTGTAGGAAATATTTCTTGACTACAACAGCCAAAGATGTACCATCTGAAACACCCTCTTCGTATTTTAATACCATTCTCCGCTACAGCACAGAGAATTACCCTCAGAAAGTAAGAATAATTGGGATATCGAAAAAATAATTCAACCTCGAAGATAGAGTGGAATCTCTTTACATATTTACATTGTTCCCAACCAGGATATTAAAGTAAGGTACTCTAGATAAGCAATTTGAGAACCCTGGATATTCGCTAGGGTTCCCTGCGTACCTGCGAGGACCTAGGGGAGAGTACCTACGAAGTAACCAAAATCTCCCCGGGTACCGTTCGGAATCACTTAGGGATACTCGAGACCATTACGGTCATGGTTAGAAAAAGTCTTTGGAGAATTTCAGTTGGTCAGGTTGTTGCCAGAGGCGAGAGCCTTTATCCTCTACATTTTCTTCTTCCAAGGAACCGTCCACAAATATAGGATTATGAACTACACCCCTGTGTTTCCTCAACACCTCATCAGCGGATTCATACATTGGGTTGTCGCGTGCAATCGCTACTGTGTCGTCTGAGATTCTTATCTCTGTTACTGAAGAGTTGCGATTCTCAGTATTGGAAACCTCCCGACGAGCACTAAATATTTCACCTCCTATCGGTTCCGCAATAAATGCAGGGTTTTCAAAATTGTACCCACCAGTTTGCGCCATCATTTCCCTGAAATGTGAGCTCACTTCAGGTGCTTTTCGTCTGGTGTGATATTCTATTCGAGCACTTTGAGAGCGGTATTTTCTTCGTCTTCTTCGCCACAAAATAAGAAGTATGATAACGATGACAATTACGAGCAGACCGATGCAGGCAATTAGTGAGTAGAGTCCCACGGGGCTCAATCTCGCACTCGATTTGCTTTCACTGCCGTCTGTGGCAGTGTCAGCAGTTATGTCGCAGATCTTTCCCAGGAAGTTTGGTGGACACACACACGAAAAGTCTTCGCCTCTCAAGGGATAACAGGTTCCACCTTCGAGGCAAGGATTGGGGTTACAGTTTCTCCAGTTCAACTCACAATTCTCCCCAGTCCACGGATAAATACACGGTGTGCAGTTTTGTCCGCCATAACCTGGTGCGCAACCTGAACAGTTTCCACCCCAGGGAGCCTCACAGCGGCAAGTAAACTTCGCTGGATCTTCGGCGTATGAAATGCAAGTCCCATTACGTGGACAAATTGTCGGATTTTCTCGACAGATAGTATCATCAGTATCGCAGTTCACCCCAATAAACGGGTCTTTACATAAGCAAACAAAGCCATTTACCCTGTCCACGCATGTGCCACCGTTAAGACAATTGGCCCGCTCGCAGTCGTCAATATTTATCTCACAAAGTTTTCCACTGAAACCTGGTTTACAAAGACATCTAAAATCATCGATGAGATCCTCGCAGTTTTCTGTTCCACTGACATTACACGGATTAGGAAGACATTCGTTTATTTCTGCATAGCAATCAGGAGATGACCATCCGGGTTTGCAGTTACATGAATAATTTCTCCACCCACCAAACCCATCCATACATCCACCGATCGTGTTAACGGGATGGCATGGGTCGGGCTTACAATAGTCTATATCATCGCACAAAAATCCACTACCAGTAAAACCAAGTTTGCAAATACACGAGGCCCGTCCCGGGCCCGCTCGGGAGCAAATGGCATACGGACTGCAGTAGCTTTGATTTGCCGAGCACAAATCTACTTCTACTATGGTGATGGTCAGAATATTACTCGTGTTCAGACCACCGCTATCGGTGGCTATCACCTTGAGAACGTACCGATCACGAGACCAGGCATTTAACTGGCTTCCCACCAGGAGGTATTGTCCATTGACTTCAAAGTCCGCGATTATCTCATTTTGATCTCCCTCGATTGTCACAGAAAAGGTGTCGTTAACATCCTGATCTTCCACAAGGAACTTTCCCAGAATGTCACCGATTCTTGCATTTTCAAGAACGCTCACACTCGTCCTTCCGTCCAACGTGACGCTGGTCGGAGGCTCATTGACATCAGTGATGGCAATATCGAACGTTTTGACAAATTTCAAGTCCGTTAGTACTTCGCGCGTTGTCAGTTGCACTGTTATAAGCGGCGTGGTTTCGTGATCAAGTGGAGTGCGTGACACGACGATGTCACGTCCGATTAGGCGAAACGGTACTCCACGTGACGTTAATTCGTACGAGTAACCCGTGCGCGTGAAATCGGGATCTACCACCGTAAAGTTACCTACGATTGCTCCGTTACTGACACTTTCCGGGATCGTAAGTGAAGACAGCAAGACGTTTGTAGGTGCTTCAGGAACGTCCAGGACAAACACAACCAGAGGCGCAACTGTGGACATTTTGGGAACACCATCATCCGTACATTTAACATAAGGAGAATAACTGGTTTGAGTTTCATAATCGAGCTTTTCACGGACTAAGATAGAGTTGGTACCAGGTTGAACCATAAACTCAGACGGCACAGAGTCAACATCACTCGAACGTTTTCGTCGGGAGCTCGAGGGCGCATGCGCATCTACAGTAACGAGCAGTTTCGCTTCTGCTTTGCTCACGAGCTCACAAGCATGCGTCTGGGGCCGAGAGGGATTGTTAATATTGTCTTCGTCAATAACATGTACATACGCCACAATTGTGATTCCGACATCAGCAGTTTCGTTGACAGTTACAATAGCCCTGGTTATAAGCTTGATGTCTGAAATGTTCCGGGGTGGATTTGGGTTAAGAATTGTGTCGCCTGGCGAGGCTGAGAAAATCACGTTTGAAGGTGGGTCGTTGGCATTTAATACTTGAATTACGAACTCTCTTTCATATGACAGTCCGCCGCTATCACTACACATGAGCGTTATGTTATGAGACGCATGCTTTTCGTAATTAATGGCCAGTCCATTGCCAGTTAAGTACAGCTCCACTCTAGACATGTTCATCTTCACTCCAAACCTACCAGCAGCATCGTTTGTAAGTCGACAATGAAAGCGCTGAGAGGAGCTCGTGACATCAGGATCCAGCACTGTTATGAGACTCACGACGGTGCTAATTGGAGAATTCTCCTTAACACTAGCAGAAGACAGCTGAATATCGTAGGGCGCCTCATTTACGTCAATAATAGGAATGGACAGAGTCACCACCTTTGACAGTTGCGAATGCAAAGCACTATCTGTAGTCGTTATAGTGAGGTTTACATGACGGTGTAGCTCAAAATCTAGCCCGCTGTTATCTGAAACGTACAGCTTGTTTACGTCACCAACGACGAGAGTACCAGAGGGGGTCTGGGCCAAAATGACGTAAGTATGCGTCTGGCCACTGTCTTCGTCTATTGACGTCATTTCTGCGACAAGTGAACCAACCTGCAAATGATTACAACAAAAAATAATAAATTCTTACATTCTTAAAGAAAGACAGTCCGTGGATAAAATTTGAAATACTGCGATGAGTATGTACAGACGCGTATCTACAACCGGCGACAACATTTGTAGAGACACTTTGCCCTTAAGGCGCTTTCTGATGTTTTGCCGACTTCAAAAGGGGACAATGAAGCTGTCCTTTCCCCATCCCCTCCATTCAACGCGTTGCCGCTCTTCGAGCTACCTGTAGGAAACAACAAACACTCCAACATTGAATGGAGAGGAAGGGAGGGGTGTGGATTGTTTTGTTCTCCGAAGTTACTCCAAATGTGGACAATGTCTCAAAAAATTGCCACCAATGGTAGATTAAATGGTGACTTCTTTTTGAAACAACGAGCGCTTCCAGTGGGGTGTGCGTGAGCATGCTCCGTAGTATTATTTCATAAACACTCCTTTCCTGAGTTTGTGAGTCATTCAGACAGGATATTGGCTGGTCCCACTTTCCTCAGTAAATATTCTACTGAAAAATTAACTTTAATTATGAAAAAACTGACCAATTTCTGTAAAACGGAGTAAATAAGCATAGATATGCACCTAGTGGGGTGTCAGACCTTGATTCTGCGCGACCCCTTCCTCTCACAAAAACCACATACCTCAGCATTTTCAGCGATTTCCGTCCCTTGTGGTAGCACTATTCCAGATGGCACGTCATTGACGTCTAGAATACTGACTACCACCTCCTGGGTAAAGCTATCGTTACCGCTGTCAGTTGAGGTAATGTTCAAGTTGTAGCTGTCCTGTTTTTCGTAATTAAACCTTACAGAAGTTATCAGTTTATCTCCTTCAATAGTAAATGATACTTGTGGCGTGACGATGTATGAGTGGTTTTGCCGTCTGTCTTCATCCACTGTTTTCAGTACAGCGACCACGGCTCCTGGGCTCAGATTTTCAGCAACCTAAAAATGATGACAATGGTCATAAACAATAAAATAATTTTGCATTGACAAAGCGTAGATCTCACTTGCGCTTGTGTTCAAATGCACTTTGAAATGAAATAATCCATCATGAATAGATATAAACAAGCCTAAACGCCTGTACCATGCAAGCTCGACCGCAAAAAATACCTTATTTTTGCCTGGGTTGAGAACACATGAGGAAGCGGTCAAAAGAAAGGTCTGGAGTTAAGCCCGGAGTGAGGGTAAAAAGAAGAGTGAGACTAAGGAGAGATTATCACGGCGCCTTGCAAAACTGATTCCCGATGTTGAGATTTGTGCCGTCTACAATACATGTAAGTTAAATCATACATGTGCCAGCTACCTAGGACTCATATTACAATGGCCGCATGTGAACACACCACAACACACAACATGAACAGCAAAGAAAAAAACCGACTATCAACATGGAGAAATGTGAAAAGCCACAGTGCAGAATTATTTAAAACTGGCCTAAAACAATTATTGGTTGTGAGCGCTCTTGTTTTTTTTATTAATCTTCCTTCAGAAAATTAGACGCAAATGTCATCGTGCTTCAGTTTGCTTAAGTTTTTCTCGGAATGCCGTACATGTAATGCCGTTTTCTCGTTGAGCCATTTGCGATCGAGCAATCGACCAGTTAACTTACTAAACTGCTTTGTTTTCAACTCGCTCAAGGGAAAAATCTTCCTATTACGGCTACTGTCGCGATAGTTACCTCAAATTTCCTTGAAAAAGACTCAATTCTAAGCGGTGGCTCGTTAACGTCCGTTAACTCCACAGTAAACTGCTGCTGAATTGATTCACCACCCTGATCCTGACATTCAATATCCACTAAATAATCCGGACCATCCGGGGCTTCATAGTTCAACATCCGGGAATTCAAAACTGTTAGTTCCCAACCTATGACCCTGAATCTTCCACCAGCGTCGTTTCGTAGTCCACAAGTGATGTTTTGAGGGACAAGTTCTTCATCCGGGTCCGTAACATTTATGATGCCAACGACAGCTCCAAAGGGAGAATTTTCAGGAATGAGGAGGTTACTCAGAGATATTGACGTCGGAGCCTCGTTCACATTCGTGACGTAAATGGTAAAGCTTTGATTAGTTGTCAGAGAGTTGTTTGAGTCGTTAACCCTGACGGTGATTTGGTGGCTCTGGGCTTCTTCAAAGTCCAACGGTCGACGCGTCATGAGCTTCCAAGTGTATTGGACATTCGTGGAAAGAAGCTAAAACAAAAAATAAAGACGGATAAGTCAAACTGAGTTAACATCAGAAACCCATCCCCACAGCATCCCTGGGCGACGAATAATTGCCACGGCGAAATTCGTTTTGTTCTTACACGTCCGTAAGACCCATTACAGCAGTTGGCCTTCTAGATACCGTCTTCTTGTTGCTTATTTGCAAGGTTCTTCGCAGTTCAAATCTTTTCGCTAGGCAGTACACTTCGTTGATCTCAACCGCCATTGCTGGAAATCCTGCTCAGCTCGGATTGGGCGGGAATTTTATGGGCATGCGAGATGGAACCATCGTTAATTTTGCCATGTTACATTTAGAACAAGTAATAATCTAATCACACAAGTTTCTCTATTCTATGAGGTAGCCTACACTATAAAGTCTGAGACACTTCTACAAACACTTGGCATATTTCAACAAATGTCAGGTTAAGATGGCAAACCATGAACACAAGGCTTAATGGGTCAATAACACTTGATACCCGTGTCTTATTTGCACACAATCGAACAGCAAGCTTATGTTTTACAACCATTGTCGGGTTTACCTCGAAAGCGGAGTCATGATTATCAAGGAGCTCAACAGACAGCGTGTTTAGCTGTGGGTCCTTCACTGTGATCACACCAACCAATGCGCCAGACAGACCCTCAGCCACGTGATTATGATGAAGAACAAGATGTTTCGGAGGCTCATAAACGTCAATGACCTGCAAGAAAATAATGACGGGAGATGGTCAACGTTTTTAAAAACTTTACGAAGGTGAGCAACATGATACACTGTGGTTCGACTGGGTTTATCAGGACTTTACAAAGTGCAGTAACTTAAAATTTTAGACGTATTTTGCTCCAACACAAATTGCAGGAATAGCTGCCAAGTTTCTTCAACAAACCTTATAATAAATTTAATTAGTTTTTTTTGTTTACAAAGTTATAAAATGAAACGGAGCTGGGAATACGTCAATCTAATACCGATTTTGCGATAACGCGCTTCTTCAAAACAGAACCTTCTGACCCTGATAAAACCTGGATGAAATAATTAAGGGGTTTCAAAAGCTATTTTCTTACTTGAATGTCGAAGACCTTAAAATTAGTGGCCCCTCCACTGCCGTAGACGCGGATAACGATTTGGTAATTACTCCGCTGCTCATAGTCAAGTGGCCGTGTGGTCACCAGGTCTCTATAATTCACAGTATCTCCGCTGACCAAAGCAAAAGTTCCATTCGCGTCATCGTCCAATTGAAAGACCAAGGTTTCATTAGAGTCCGAAGTCCTCGCCGTGATAAGCCCAACAAGACTTCCCGCTGGCTTATTTTCCTTGATGTGTGAGGAATTCAAAGAGATGTTCACTTGCGTCAGCAAAATGTTGCTCCTCACTTCGATAAATAGTCTTGAAGGAAAGCTTATATCATCTCTATCGTAACAAAACAAGTCAACGGGGTGGCGAGACGATGTTGCGTTTATCAGTGGTTTTCCGACGAGGAGCTGAAGACCAGAGATTTTGAACAAGCTATCTGGATCCAAAAGATAGCAGAAATGAGAATCGCCTTGATCTTCATCTACAACGGTGAATGTCCCTACCAGACTCCCCACAGAGGCATTGGAGCTTACGATCTGGTTTGACAAGTACACGGCGCTTGGAGCGTCATTGGCATCCACAACACGGACATTGAAGCTTTTCACGATGCTAAGCCCGCCTTTATCTCTACATCTAACCTCAACTGTTATCACGTGCGAGTGATCAAGCTTCTCATAGTTGATTTGCCCGTTCACTAACAAAGCATCGTTTTCGATCTTGAAGATGTCGTCACTAATGACGTCACATTTTCCAGAATCACCTCGATCTGGGTCTTCCATCGTTACGTTAGCTACGTTGTAGCCCAGCTGTCGATTCTCCTCCACGCATAACCCGGATGATGACACGCAAGGTTTCCTGGGCCAGACAATAATGTTCGTTGGCGGTTCATTCTTGTCAAGAACTGTGATATTAAAGTCTTGTTCAAACGAAAGCCCCGCGCTGTCGGTCGTTCTCAGGCGAACTGTCCACGGATTAACTGTTCTTTCGTAATCGACATCTGAGGAAACTTTCAGAGTATGGCCTTCAACCGTGAAGATGCCAGTAGGATTAGCTACAAGCGCAAAAGTGTGATTGTCGCGGAGGTCTGGATCCAGCGCACTCAAAGAACCAATCACTGTATTCAATGGTGAATGTTCTAAAAAAGAGTCTGAAGATAAGACAATCCCACTTGGATTTTCATTCACATCAAGAACACGAATCTCAATCACAGAGGTCACGCTGCTGCCAAGAGGATCAGTAGAGCGCACACGCAACATCCATTGACCACGTGATTCAAAGTCCAATTTCTCGGCCCAGGCTACCACTAGTGAGGATTCATTGATGGCAAACACGTCGTTATTTCCTAAGATTGAATACACATGAGACTGGCCAACATCTTCGTCTAGTGTCGTGAAGTTACCAATCACAGAGCCATTACGAGTTCCCTCAGAGCTAGCCTTAGTGAACTCAGGGATAAATCCCCCGTTAAAAATGAGGAGTGTAGGAGGATCATTAGAGTCTATAACTGTGATGTTTATAGCCGATACACTAGCCAGTCTGGGAGAACCATCGTCCCTTGCTTCAACTGTTATGCTAAAGCTCGAAGCCTCTTCGTAATTCAGTTTGGAATGAAGACGAAGTTCTTGACCAACGATCCGAAATCTATCCCCAGCATTCACAAGCAGAGTGTAAATGACTTCATGTCCAGATTCAGCATCAGAAGAGTTAATAACACCAATAACAGTTCCAAGAGAGGCATTCTCATAAACTACTGAGGAGGTTATGGTTGGCGGACCTGTTAAAAGGAGAAACCAAACGAAATCTTAAAGACCAGCTACAATCCTGGTCAGAACGTTTGGGACATTCTGTATTTCGTGTAAGGAAAATGCAATTCAAGTTAATCCCCGTCTTCCCCTGGACAGTGTTGGGTGTTACAGGTCAAACACCCTTTACATATCTTGCACACGTTATGGACCTCAACTTTAGTCGGGGGGTGGGGGAGAAATCTTGTTAAGGCCGTGTTTATGAGTGTGTATAGCCGGTTAGCTGCAAATTCCATACAAAATCACGTGCAAAAGGGGAGGTGTCCCAAAACCTTCTGGCCAGGATTGTAGCTAAGTTCATCACTAATTAAACTAAACGTTCATTACTAATTAATTAAACGTATTTCTAACTTTACCCTGTCGACCCGCGTTTGTTTTGCGCACCCAATGTCCATTTCTTTTGCCCTTCATGTTTTGAAAACTATCGCAATACTATTGCAATAGTACCTCCACTATCGCAATATCCGTGCGACCTACTGCAAAACAATTGCAGTACTTAAAATTTCAGTCCCCAATAGTCACACCTAGTTGTAACCTGCTTTTAAGGCGCTGCGCTGTTTTCCAGGAACTCTTCTGCTTTTTTCATAAACACCCCCCTCTCAATTACGGATCCTACTCAGATAAAATGTGTACAATGAGTTCAGGCAGATGAAAGCCGGTTCTCGGGTTTTTACTATAATGAGACGCATTGATGAGCCATTAAAAACTTACTTGGTGGCTCGTTGACATCTGTGACATAAACAGTAAGGTTTTGAGTGATGGAAAGCTGTGGAACACCACTGTCTGTAGACATGACAGTCACAGTGTAGACTGATTGTCTCTCATAGTCCAATTCACCACTCACAGTCAATAACCCTGCCATATTGTCAACTCTAAAAACACCTGCTCCGTCAACCATCGCATAAGAAAAGACCTGATCTTCGTCATCATCGACCGTTGCCAGTTTTCCCACAACAGTATCACGGGGAGAGTTTTCGGGAATAAGCGGGGAAGAGAGCAAGATTCTGAGAGGAGGACTGTTGGAGCCTGGGGCTTGACTTGCGCATTGCGCCGTGATGGCACTCCACTGGCCTGATGCTTGACACGTGATGGTGTTTGAGCCAATCAGAAATCCCGTTGTACAGGTCACAATGCAATCTTTACCAAACCTGAAAACACACACACACAGGTAGAGGAATATTTCAGTTAGATGAAGCAGTTGGGAGGCGTAGCATTTCCGTGGAAGAATTCGGATCCGTATAATACAATACTACCCCGCGAGTAAGAACCTACATTTTCCCAAGTTTGCCTGAGCAGGATCTAACAAAAATTTGTAATTAGCCAAAAAAAACTTAGACCAAACTGGGTTGTTCTATTGGTTCTTATTATTTTTCTGACGAAAATAATTACATTGGAGAATCTAGTGCTATTCAGCCTACTCTTTACTCTTACACCTTATTCCGGTGCACCTTAGCTGAATCCAGAAAATCCTGAATCTTCAGCGTTTAATAGAAATAGATTCGTAGAGAAACCTCCTGCCTAAAATATGGTCAACAAGGGCAAAAAGATCCTTGCTTTTTTGGTTTGATTGCCATGGTAAATATCGGTGTTTGGATTCACTGTTTCACTGAGATCTTACTATCGCTTAGCTTGAACCTGGATTACGATATTTGACAAAGAAACGCAATGTAATGACCAACCAAAGCAACTAACACCTCTGTCTTCTGCAGAGGCCTTTATGTGTTGTAGGGAGACTGGGGAGAGGGGAAATGTAAGCATGCAGGGGATGATGGGAAGAGGAAAGAGAAGAAGAAAGGTTGCCTTTTCTCTTTTTCCGTCATCCACCACTCACTTATTGTTATTTAATTATTGCTATTCCTACTGAAATGCCCCGTTGGAGCCTCTGTGAAGAAGAGCAAACTAAAGTAGTACTGGTATTAGCTTGTGCCAACGTTCCAAAAAATTATAATTTGAACTTGTTTTTTCTGATCATTAATACCTGTATTGATCCACAGTCCCATCACATTTGACCACAATTCCTTCAATTCCCTTAGGTATCCCACAATCCAACAAGTCACAGGTGTGACCATCATCTGCCAAACTGTAACCAGCATCACAGCTACAAACATAAGATCCAAAAGTATTCACACAACGATGCTGACAGGAGTGATTTGAATGGCTACATTCATCGATATCTCCACATGTAATCTGATCACTATTCAGTAGAAAACCTGGGTTGCAGTCACATCTGAAGCTGGCATGTGTGTTGACACAGAGCTGCTGACAGGAATGCTGGCTGGTTGTGCACTCATTAATGTCATCACAGCTATTGGTTACAGGATTGTAAGTGAGTCCAGAAGAACAAATACAGTTGTAAGATCCTGGAGTGTTCTCACACTGATCTGGAAAGAGAAAAGAATAGCCTCTTGATGTTAAGCTTCAACTTCAGATTGGGACTGGCATGTACTTAAATGAGATGCTAGAGTTTGAAATATGAGTTAGAAATGTGTTGTTCACATTAGTGAAAGTACAAAAAGAATGTCCGAAATCATCATCATCATCACCATCATCATCATTCTCTGGCCTGTGACAGAATTTTTCATCCTTTTGATACCTGGGGGTGTGCAATTGGTGTGTTGCCAATACTACCTAAGGTAGCATGCTGGATGTTGGCAGACAATGAGCTAACTCCCATTTGACAGGTCTTGTTTTTCATCCTGCTAGGTTGCATGCCACCCTCCTCATCTGCACAGATATGGTGAGGATGGAGGGGGGCAGTTTAGATGCTGCCCCTCCATCCATGTGGCAGCTTGGTCTGTGTTACAGCGTTACAAGTAACAGAGGGAGACTTGCCCCTGACCTGACCTGTCTTGTCCAAAATGATCATCTCAAAGGGTGAAGAGACAAGTAACCCATGAAAGACTACTGATACCTTCGAGGATCACATACTATTTCACTGATCCAGTCTTAGAAAAACAAAATATGCTTTTAGTTCTTGTAAACTCTTGAGTCTGTGGATGAGATGCTAGAGTACACTCACATGAAACTGAGTTAACCCTTTAAACCCTAAGATCAAGTAGTGGGGAGAAGTTGATAAAATATCAAGAAAATTCATCTTATGTGATCATGTCTGTAATTCTCATAACCACTCCGTTCTACAAAGCATTGATATTACAAGGAGAAATTTGATGCTGGTCACTCTTAGGGATTAAAGAGTTGATCACCTGGGCAACGATGAGCATGAGTCTGACACTCATTAATATCCACACAGGAATGTTTGTCTGCTGCTAGACTGTAGCCAGAGCGACAGGAACAGAAATATGAAGCTTCTGTATTATTGCAGCTGAATTCACAACCCCCACAATTAATGCGACACTCATCTTCATCTGAAAAGAAATACAATTCATGTACATTAAGTTACTGTTACAGATCAGAAAATTGCAGACTCTCAAATCGTAATATTTCCTTAAGCCTCAGTGTTACAGTGTCATGGCCAAGATGACTGGCAGACGCCAGTTAGTTTCAGCTAAATTCACATCTCATTACCACTATTATTAACACCTACATGGATCCACATCCCCATATATGCTGGTGACATTGGCTAGCTTTAAATGGCTTTTTTTTTTGGCAAAATATCCAGAGACAAATGGTTTAATTAAAGATCACCCCACACTGTGCATTAACATATTCGAATCCTCCTTCTGGCTTCTGCCTACTTTTTTTCTACCACCCAGAAACTTCCATTCTGGGTAAAGGACTTCCACAAGAAAGGGGTGGGAATGCTCAGCAGAAAATTGGAATTACAACATGTAATCCCTAAGGCAGACCAATCTGGGGGTGGTTCAATCTTTATTTGGCACCTGCAAGCTACTTAATTGCAATACAGAATATTTACCACGCAATGCTCCTATCTTCCTTTCTATTTTTCTTCTTTTGCTTTCTTGAAGTTCAGCCCTAAGTGATACCAGGCTAAAAATATTGGTATTCCACCCTGAAGACCCGAATGATACGAAAAACTGCAAGTTACCTGTACACCATTAAAAAGATACACATCCCCACTCTTTTATATGGGAGTTATCCCACCCTCCTTGCCCAGGATTTCAATTGCCATTTCTCTGGTTCTGGTCCTCATCCCTACCCTGTTGCCCATTTTCACATTCTTAATTGAATATACCTTTACAAGATGTGTCATCACTCTGCAAAGTGTAGCCTTGCAAGCACGAGCAGTTGTATCCTCCTGGGAAATTGATGCATAGCTGTTCACATCCTCCACGATTGTAACTGCACTCATTTACATCTGAAAGCATATACACAAAAACATGTTACTTTTTTTTCCTTCAAAGATGAAGTCTCAGGTGAATAAAATCCTACCCTGACATGTCTTGTCGTCAGAGCTGAGTTCAAATCCTAAAGGACAGAGACATCTAAATCCACCAATCAGATCCAAGCATGTATGACTGCAACCTCCATTGCCTACTAGGCATTCGTTGAAGTCTGAAAATGGTACAAAATTCAATTTTTTTCAGATTTTGTGAAGTTTGAAAGGAGTGTGAGATTAATGCCCAAAAAAGGCAAAGTGCAATGAAATCAAGTGAATTGGTAGTAATATTTAAGTTTTTTAGAGAGGGTTTATCAAAAAAGTTAATAAACAGGTTTGGATCCCTCCTTTGTCCACCTGCATCCTCTACTGCTTCAAAAACACTTGGAGAAGGAGCAAAAAAAAGCAGGGGGCATTGCACCCTTTCTCTGGCTGCCTTAATGTTACCACATCTTGTTTTGTTTGCTTCATAAATTATGTTTATTTTACACTGGATTGTTGTAACTGCATAATGACACAGATTTTTCTATTTATTTCAGCTTTACCACATGCATGTGCCGCAATACGCTATAAAAGCCACTTTTTTCTTGCTAGTGCTTCTCATCTGGTTCTATTCCCATTATTTACATTACAGCAAATAAAGCAATAGGCAGTCACAAGTAAGACCCTAGATGAGAGTACAAATTATTACACAGTCTGCCCAGGAACAAGCTGATTGAAGCACCCTTGTACAGGTTGTAGTCTGTAGTCTGTTCTCCGGGGGGAGGGGGGGAGTGGTACCCCTATATTTGGGTTAGATACATGTAGGTATGTGCCACAGTGTGATCTGTAAAGGGTAGCACTATTATACACTGTATTAGCAAAAACTTCAAGTGTGTAAATGCCCAGCTACACAAGAAGCAAATCATCTGTTAAAACAGAACTTTACTTTAGAGTATTAGGAAAGTGTTTTGAGGAAGATTTTATGTGTTTCCATTAAATTCTTAGCTTTTGTTCTTCCCTCAAATTGGGTCTCATTTTTCAGGTTTTGGCCTTATTCAGGGTATCAGTGTTCATTTTTCTCAACTTTAAATAGGCAGGGGCATAGCCAGCTTTTTGACTAGTTGTAGGCCTGGCAGACTTTCATTTCAGTTATTATTTTTATATCCTAAAAACTGTATGCATGGCTAGTACACACTAACATCACCAACACTATGAGCTCTTATGCTTTTTTGCTCTCCCCAACAACACATTCTGGTAATTACTGGCAATTATTACAAGCAGTAGAATGATCAAACCAAAATTCGTAGGCCCGGGTCAACAGGTCTATGGGCTGGCTATGCCCCTTATAGGGTCAGGGTTTAAGACACTGGGCGGCACACACCTATCCAAAATTTATGGGATTACCTTCCCGGGTCTGTTCTATGCGTGACTACTGATATTAAACACTGTGGAAGCACCGCAATTGCTTCCAAATCCGCCCAAAACGGGACTGTATTTATATATCTTTAATCAAAATTACGAACACTAGTGCTAAATCAGAATGGATCTTACCTGCACCTGGTTGTCGATCAGGATGATAAACATGTAAAGCTGTTGGCCTGGTCATGCCTCCAGTGATTCTCACCCTGTCATCTCCTCTATCCTTGTTACAGTGTTCAATACTATGCTGTTGCCAGTCGCTCCAGTATATCCGATCACCAAATTGCGTCATTGCATAAGGATGATAAACACGAGTCTGATCAATGAGAACCCTGCGGTTCTTCCCATCAAAATCAGACTTCTCTAACTTGTCTGTATTAGCATCAGCCCAGAACAATTTACTGTCAATATAGTCTAAAGCAACCCCATTTGGCCAAACGATACCCGAACTTATGAGCACTTCTTTGGCTGATCCATCGGTCATATTTGCACGCAATATTTTGGGCTCACTGCCCCAGTCTGTCCAATAAACTTTGTTGTTGCCAGGATCAAGAGCAATAGCTCTTGGTTTGTCATGACCCGTGCTTATAAGTGCGCGACGTTCTGTACCATCCAGATTGATAACCTCAATTATTTTATTACTAGCATCTGTCCAAAAGAGTTTACGGCCCATCCAGTCAACAGCCAAATCTTCCGGAATTCCCAAGTTTTCTACTACAAAATCTTCAACACTCCCAGGAACGAGGCCATTATCAATATGGACCCTCTGAATTTTCTTAACCGTAATGTCTGACCAATAAATCATTTGTGTTTGTATGTCAAAGTCTAGACCAACAACATTGGATAAGCCACGGACGACATAATTGTAGCCGGTACCATCAAGGTTGACTCGACGTATGTCCACAGTATTACCAAATATAATGAAGGGTTCAGGGATGACACAGCTTATCAATTCTACCAAACTAAACAAGACTGAAAGAAACCAGTCAGCAGCATGTAAAATCTTAATAAAATAAATACTGTGATATTATCAAGAGAAAAGTTGTTTATGATAAAAGTTGTTAATAAAATTTTATCCTTTTTAAAGTCAAAACCACTTCTTTTCACCCAGTGTATCCTTCTTGAGTTCTAATAATTATATGCTTTGGGTAATAATAGATCTATACAGTTAGCAGCCTCCCTTCCAACCTTTTAAGATACTGAATATTTTATGAGCAGGTACTTGGAAGAATTTTTCTGGTTACACCTGTTTCGGTGAAACTGGTTTTGTTTCAGTTATTTTAACTGTTCAAATTTTATTTCACGTTAACTTTCATTTACATGTACCCTAGTTTAATTCTCAATTTCAGGAGGCAAAGGAAATTGAGAATTAACCTGGGTTAAAAAGTGTTAACCTAAAATCTAATTTGACCTGAATTCACTTCTCTGTTGTACAATTTTAACTTTTCATTCTCTCCAATAAAGTTGAAGGGAAGTGGGGATTGCAACTTTATTAAATCGAATCTGTATTGAAGAGCAAGGGTTAGATACATAGCTCAAACCTCTTGGAAAAAAAGCTGCCCCACACCCCTGATATGGTACTACGAGATACGAAAAAATAGTTCATTGACAAATAGTTCCAATAAGGACTAACTCAATACTGGCCCTAAAAGCTGGGGCATAGCTACCTACAAGTGTATACTAGTACACACAAGCATACCTAAGAAAAAGTCAAATTGTAATTATTAAAAAAAAAACAAAGAAAACAAAGCAAAGCAATTTTATAACAGGAAGGAAATGATAAGCTAGGGCTGAAGAAAGTGTAGTGTAAAACAAACTGCTACACAGGAATTCATGAAAGCTGGTACTGATCCTACAATCAAGAGATTTTTACAACACCACACCAATAAAAGTTCCCCCAAGGGGAATGACTTTGGGGATGGGGAAGGGTGGACCTGGAAAACTGTGTATAACTCCTACCAATGCCCCTTCCTAAAAGGCAGGTTTTACTGTTTAACTGCCTTTTAATTTCACTCCAAGAATGAGTCGATAGAACCTTTATAAGGTGCTTCTAACATTTGAGTCTGTGGACAAAATCCTGTGGTGTGACCACTCAAATAATGAAACCTTCTTTGTTTTCAGCATTTTGCAAAATAAAGTTTTTGTCTTATATTTACTTTCATGTTACAACTGGAAGGGTTACGTCATTTATTTACTCACCAAGAAAGTTCCATAATCTCGCAAACTGAACCCGGAAGAAGGTCATTCTTAGCAAGATAAACTGGAATAAATGCAAATTTAGACAGATTGCTATATTTCTAGACATAGATTTGAAATGGTGTAAGGCAAAAATTCTTGCTGCATAGATTTAAAACGGGATGCTTTACCTCAATTAAAGAGGGAGACCGCACATCTTGAACAATGGAGTTCAACACAATGGAAACGACGTATATTATGCCCTCGTTAAATAAAAAAATTAAGATCATGCAAGGATTCCTTGGACATTTTTAATCGACTAAGGACCAACTCCTTTCAAACTATATTTTGTGAACCTAAAGCTATCTTTGCTTTACGTTCTTCGAGAAAGTGTACACTTCCTTTCATCAGTTTCATGAATCTTTGATCGATATCTCATGGTCACGAAAAGTGTGAAGCATGGTAACAAAACGGTTGCTGAGTCGCAAAACAAAATGTTATCACAATTTAACTAAGCTCACTGAGGTTAAAACGCCACATATAACGACTGGTATGATCCATAAATTATTACGTGAGAGTTTCCAGAGGGTTAAGGGTTTTTTTTAAGTTGACTGTTTTCATACGAGATATAAATACGTACTCTACTCCTCTCTAAAACCTACGTACCATTGCAAATTAACCTCGTCGCTTCTTCGGAAGAACTGCTGATTTGTCATGGAGACTAAACGGTGGCTTGATCCATTACTTTGCTGCTTGTTTATTCGCTGAAGACTTTGTTATAGTAACGAGCATATTTTGCCTTCTCATCATCGACATCATCTGTGGGTCTTCGACGAAATTGACAGAAGCACGAAAAGAACAAAAGCGATTATCCGCAAAACTAAACAAAGTTTGTAAAAACAAAGAACGTTTCCTCGTTATGATTGGTTAGATCACTGAGCTGCATCCATTTTTTTCATTCAATATTGAACATTTTGCGGTACAAATAAAATTGACTTCTTCAAAAATACAAAACACAAACTCAACAAGAATCCCGCGTTCTTTGCGCGCAATTTTTCCAAGGGTAGATTCCTTCAGATTCGGTAGTTTCCGATCTCCCTCGGAAAGTAATCGACAACATTCGATTTCCCGGACCTCGGATGACCCTGGAAGCGAGTAGCAGTGAGTTCAACAGCCGAGGAAAAGTTTGTAAATGTATTTTGCCATTTCAATTCAAACATATTGACGGCTCACGGCTAGCATGGTAGGAGATTTATTCATAAAACACTACTATATAATGCTGTCTTGTAATTTTGAGAATTTCGATGTGATATGGAGGTTAAAAAATCCGATTGAGATAGTAAGCTACGCCCGCAGTCCACTTCCCTTTCCTCATAATGCACCTTATTATTCATTCAAAATATTTCCCCAATTCTGACTGGCTAAAAGCACATGTTTAATTCACCATAACCAGTTACTGATGACCAAATTTGGAGGAATTTTGACTTTAACGAGGAAATGACGTCAAAAATGCAGCGTTTTCGCAGGTTAAGGTACCGTTAATGCACTTATCAATTGAAACCCCGACCCCCCCCACCCCGGGCCTATGTGGGGCAATGTGGGGGATTTTTATGGTATTTGAAGGCATGGTTAGCCCGTGGGGGTGGGGGATTTCTCAGGATTTGCTTAGCATATTCATGGAAGTCCATGGAAGTCGGGGAGTGAGGTGGGGATTTGACTCGTGCCTAGTTTCCTCACGGTAATTTCTTCACGTGATCACTGCTATTTTGATGTATTGATCGGCTGTAAGTTTCCTGACTGTTTTTCCTTTCATTTCTTCACTGAGACTAATCCTTTGCGTTTTTGCCTTGAGCTTTCATGGTTCGTTGACTGGAAATTGTTATTGTTATTCAAAACTTCTCAAACAATGCAGATTCAAACTCCTCTACTTATTATAAAAGGTGCTGCGTCACTGCTATCTGGTTCATTTTGTTAATATTGCCAGTTACGTGGTCCCTATTCGCTTTTGAGGGTTACGTTGGCAAAGAAATGAAGAAATCAAAGCTTCGTTTTAAACAGATGTTTCTCCCAAGCATATCAAGCATTATGGACGAAAACAATGAACTTTGAAAAACTGTTAGGTTAACAAGTTTTCAAAAACCAAAATTTCAATCCGTTTTAATCTTCTTCATGTTTTCCCATCTGTACCTTCTTTTGTATTTGCTGAGTCATTTATACCATCTTTTAATGTCTTAAGCAGTTATTTTTATGTTTCACTCAATTTGGTGGCAGTTCCCACAGCCTACATTTTGGTAAATTTCATGACACAGCTCGTTTAACGTCTAGTGTTTCTGAAGTTCTATATTTCCTCATTCTTTAAGTCAAAATATAAAATATAGCTCCTAGGAACTATTTTATGCAGTCTATTCATAACATCAGCTTGTGAAGGTTAAGATATGTTGGCTGCTATTTTCAATTAAACTTATCATTGCAGATATTACTTTCAATGGAGATGGTACGGATTTCCGTTTAATATAACTTTATAGCAATGTGCTACTCCATCATCCATTTTGTACCCTGACTTTTTTATAAGTGGGTAGGGGTCATTATATTTACTTATTGTCAAATATTTGTTGTATTTATATCTTGGTCTGTTATCATATTTGCCTTTTTGCTCTAGTAAATTTGTCAATATTAAGAAGTTGAAAATTCGAACGAAATATTAATAAAGTCAGTCAGGGAATTAAAAAGGTTTCCCCACCTCGGTGGGGGTTTTACCAGTCAATATGCCCCAGTAGGGTGGGAGTTTGCTAAGATTTGTAATGATGTCAAGTCAAATCCCCACCTTGGCCCGGGGTGGGGGGGGGTCGGGGTTTCAATTGATAAGTGCATAACTGAGAAGAACTGGGGACGAGGTTGAGTCGTTTTGGTTGTGAACTTAAAAAAATGGCGGACATTTCACTGGTTTCAAGAGTAAGAACTAGGCGAAAAAATAGCTAAAAACACGGCAAGAACAGCAAGAAGACAACTCGAAGGGTGACATCTGCTATTTGGAGAATATTTGCGGAGCTGGACAAACCTAAACGTACACTGTCGAAGATGAACTGAACATGGATGGATCGATGGAGGTAAGCATGTATATAAAATACTTAACGCTCATCAAAGGAATTCTTTTTTAGTTGTTTTTTGGTCCAGGGGAGCTTTATCTAGTAGGACCAGCTGAGAAGCTGTTATGATTTATGGTTGTCAAATTTTAATGTAAGGATGAAATGCAAGTATTCAGTTTGGCATGAATGAGTCAATTATAACTCAAATATTGAATTGTTTTCACAGATGATTAACATTAATGTATACTCAGATTTATCCTGTCCTTGGTGTTATGTTGGCAAGAGACGTCTTGACAAAGCCATTCAGCAGTTTTCCCCTAGTAACATAACTGTCAACTGGCATCCATATATTATCGACAAAAATACAGCCCAAAAGGGAGAAGAGTACATGTCATACAATATTAGAAGGTAGTGTTTCTTAAAGAAATTATTAGTGGCTTCAAAAAACCTCTCCACAATGGAGTGTATGGAAATTCTCCTGGATACCCTCAAGATCTCCGGCTTACGGCACAAATGTATGTCCCTTCTCCTATACGGGTCACTTATTCAAATCTCCTGGACAAAATCAACATTTTAAGTTTTTCTATGTTTTAACTTGGGGGATTTTTCCATAAATATTCAGAAATGGTTTTGTTTTACAGTTATCTGTCAGTTACTAGCAGCGTCTTTGCACACATTTCATCACTGACACAGATTTCATCATTACAGTCATTCCAGAAGCAAT